TGGTCATTATTTGTTTGCCACACACATTAAATAGGAAAATACTCTGAGCATGCGCAGTGTAGTTTTTACAGTCACCGTTCACTTAGACAGTGAGAGGGAGGGGCAGGATCGGGTTTTGTCCCACATGGCTCTAAACAGCTCAATAGGCACACACTGTAGACACTAATTAGAAGAACACAGACTAAAACAGCAATGAGACGAATCCGATGATTAAACATGATCTTAAAATATATTTTATATATATTTTAATTTATTTTTTGCATTTTGTTGTAATCATTATTGTAATACTTTCTGCTGACACTAGGTGGGGCTGTGTTCTCCTCCGGTTTACAGGCACTGTGTACATTATATATATAGAATAATTATGATGATGAATGCATTTTTTTACCACTAAAATGCAGCAACACATCTTTGATTCATGTCGTTTATAACTGGGATATTACAATTATTATTAACTTTGTCTGTACAAAGTAGCCTGTCCAGGAAACATGCCCAAATCAACAAAAACTGCGAGCAGGCAGGCAAGACGCTCCGCTTCTGAAATGCTTCTGAAACGCGCCGCAGACGGACCCGGTGGAATCTAGGGGTGAGACGGCAGGACGCGGCGATGCTGTGAGTCTGTGTGTAAGCACACACACATGGCACATTTCCACTGCAGCGGGGTAGCCCCATTTAAGCGTACCTAAGCGTCCTCGCTCAGGCCTCAGGCTGCCTCGCTGGCCGTCCGAGGCCGTGGCGCATTTACATTACAGTTTAGGACCTGGGGTAGCAACGCAGTGTAGGGTTCCAACAAGCCGTGTAGGACAGAGAGTGAATACACATACTATACAGAGATGCTGTGAGAAACCAATGTGAGTTTGGAACATTGAACAATGTACATCTATTCTAGTAGACCTCAACAATGGAATTATGATCAGTAGAAATGGCCATGACATGGGACCTTTAAAACTAGGGGTTAATTGTTGTATATTATAACAAAAACACAGAAAAAGAACTTGGTTAGGTTCAGTGAAAAATCATTGTTTGGCTTGAATTAAGTATGTTTTATTTAACTTATGACTTAAAGTGGACCTATCATGCTATATTTGAATAATATATTGTAGGGCCATGCCTATATAAAACATGTCTGTGAAGTTTTTCTTTCAAAATACCAAACAGATCCTGCATTTTAACCATGCCTCATTTCGCTCTATTTGCTCTATTCCAGCCCTGTTTTTGCAAGGGCTGATTCTGTGGCAAATGAGCTGCAGCTGACCACGCCCCCCGGCAAAGGAGGGGGGTGAGGAACGAGCGTGCTGTTACCATGCTGTTACCATGCTGTTACCATGCTGTTACCATGCCACGCAACCCCCCATTCCCCTGATAGGTGGAGAGTTGCCCATATAGGCGGAGCTCCTTGTTTCTGACGTCAGAGATATTTCAAATCTGGATCAGTCTGTATCAGATCCGTTGCAGCCCCGTTTTTAGAGATTTGGGTATGGAGGAAAAGAGAGAGGGTTGTGTTTTCTGAAACTTGGAGAGTTCCCAGTCACACCGGGGACACATATTCATGTATAAAAGACGTACAAAAGTGCATTTTGCATGATAGATTCCCTTTAAATTTAAATGCATGAACTTTTCTGAGGACCTTGGGGCGACACCACTGAAAATATTCCTACTTCTCACTTAGTTGACTACCTCATTCACATTTGTCCTGGTGAGTTCATCGTCAATTCATTGCAAGGTCAAGATGTAAAAAAGAAAGTTGAAATGTAAAAGCAGAAGTGCCTTAAACTTGGTGCGATTCAACTGGTTGCAAAAATAAGTCAGATTGAATAGAAGTACGAGAAAATGACCTTGCTTTTTTACCTCAATGAACATTTTCCTAATAAGTTTATGGTCTCAATCTCTATTTCTCATTCTTCTTAATTGTGGTACCCTTTAGTAAAATAGATGTTAAAGCAGGGTTAGCTTTAGGGCGGGGCTTCCTTGTGATTGACAGGTCGCTATACCAAACGTTTTGTCCTTGTCTTACATCTGACTCTTTCCAAGTGTGTTTTCACTTCATGCTAGTCATTTCTAACATTTTGTTCTCTAAAAAGTATTGTTTAGTGTTTGTTTGTGCTTAGCTCCACCCTCTCCTGTCACTTCTGGTGAAAAAAACAAGATGGGGACAAAAAGCTAAACCAAAGGCTGCAGTTTATTCAGCTTCTTACAAAGCAGCAGTGCTTTCCCTTTGTCATTAGGTTCATTTGTGTGTGTTACGGTGTGTGTGTGTGTGTGTGTGTGTGTGTGTGTGTGTGTGTGTGTGTGTGTGTGTGTGTGTGTGTGTGTGTGTGTGTGTGTGTCCGTATTGTCCCACAGAGCTGCTCTTGTAGTTGTAAACAAACCCTCACGGTAACCATCTGACCATCTGATTGGCCAGCGAGCTAATTGACTGTTAATTGGTTCTTCATAATCAGTAACACACTGAAGAGACAATTAAAGTCGATCTCATGGGCGGCTGGCGGAGTGTGTGTGTGTGTGTGTGTTTTAGTAATATATTCAGGTCTTTGTTCGTCAACAGGCCGCTCAGGAAACAAGTAGAACAACATGGGCAGAGCTGAGAGATTATTATTAGACCTTCTGTCAGCTGACAAAAGACAACATGTTTTATTACATTTAGGATTATTTACTAGATTTAAACTTATTTTAGGATATTCAAAATGCTTTTGAATTATAAAGTGTGTCAGATGTGTTTTTGCCATCGAAGGTGAGCACAGGAAAAGCTCTTTATTATCACAGTTAAAATAAACAATCCAACGTAAGGAACAATAAACAGTTTAATGAATTAATCATCTGAATATATTATGAAGATTGTAAAAACTTTCATTTCCAGGTCAGTTATTCCACAACAAATGATTTCAACCCATTTAATTTTACTTTCTATTAAACTGTATTTCTTCAGAGATGATTTATTTGTTCATTATTATTTATTTATTTATTATTTATCTATCTTTTTATTTTTCTATTAGTGTTTTTGACAGTGTTTGTTCCTAAACCCACTTCCCAACTTAATGGAAATGAAATAAAATACCAGAAGGATGTGTGCAAACTTGAAGTCCTAGATTCAAAAGGTCATTGATTTGGATAAAGTTATAACACAGATAAGACTTGATTTACCCCGAAGGAAATTCAAGAGTTACAAAGATAACACAGCAGCATAATAATAACACTGGACACGAACAGTGCAGATATAAAGGAGAACAACATGGCGATCCGACCTGTGAGTTTGAGCCGGAGACTCCTCCCGAGGAAACACGTTTTTATATTCATTTATTTAATGTTTTTTGTTTACAGTATTTGTTCCTAAACTGCCAACATAAAACCCACTTCCCAACTTAATGGAAATGAAATACAAATAGTGCTTGGACCAGAACAATATGTGCAAACTTCAAGTTCAAGATTCAAAAGATTGCGACACGTAATGCAAAGCGTTACCTTTGGTCAAAGTGATAACACAGAGATATAAAGATCTGACCTGTGAGAGTTTGGACTGAAGCGTCCCCCGGAGGCTTCACCGTCACAACGATCATCTTTCTGTCCAGAGCGGTGCAGAAAGAGCCCATCGTCAGCAGAAGCCCCCCGAAGAGGAAGAGGAGGAGGAGGAGGAGGAGGAGGAGGAGGAGGAGGAGGAGGAGGAGGAGGAGGAGGAGGAGGAGGAGGAGGAGGAGGAGGGTGCTTTCCTCACATGTTGCAGAGACATCTTCCTCCTGCTGTTTCCGTGCACATGTTGCTCCGATCTGTGAGTGTTTCCTCTCTTCAGACTTTGAGTGTTTACAGCACGATGAAGAGGAGGAAGAGGAGGAAGAGGAGGGTCACGCATCAGGTGGAGGGAAGAGGAAGACTTCATTGATGTGCAAAACAAGATGAATGCAGTTAATCTGGTTTATTTTCAACATCTCAAATGTAATCCTAACATTTACTCTCATAATAAAGGGGACCTATCGTGCAAAATGCACGTTGTGATGTCTTCTCTCCATCACCATGTGTCCCCGGTGCATCAGGGAACTCACGCAGCGTCAGGAAATAAACCCTCTCTCTTTTCCTCCGTACCCAAATCTCTAAAAACGGGGAACTACGGAGCTGATCCAGATTTGCGTCCGATATGACGTAATATCTGAAATGTGGACCCACGGCCCAATCAGAAACGTTGCTATCAGAAACAATGGCCGACTGTTTGGACGTAATATGGTCGGTGTTTACATTAGCATCGCTAACACTCAGAGCTAACCTGTACTGGAGCGCATGTGTGTGAAGAAGCAGGAAGTAGAAAGGAACTCACCTTGTGGTATAACCGGCAAGAGAGAAAGCCTTTGAGCTCCAAACTGTTTCAGAGAGAATCCTTGATAATCCATGATATGGCGTTTCATCACGGCAGCATTTAGTTTAGACAGTAGCTGCCGGGTCCCGCATGAGCTCAGACCCCTCCTCTTTAAAGCTTTATCCCCAAATCAGCACTTTAGAAACAGGAAGTGAAATAGAGGGATATGAGGCGTGGCTAGAATGATCTGTTTGGTGTTTGGAGCAAAACACTTCATAGACATGTTTTTTACATATATCTGAGACCCATGCTATTGCCTAAAGATAGCATGATAGGTGACTTTAAGAAAGATTTTTTGCAAAAACATTAAGAAGTTGAGAAGTTTTTGGGAGAAAAGATTTTAAAAAGTTGAGAAAAAAAAGTTGAAATGTTCAAATGATTGAAGACATTTTGGGAATGAAGTTGAATCAAGCAGTGGATCAATAGTAGCTTCTGCAGTTCAAATATGTATTGATAGTGATGGATATCAAGAAAAGGAATCTTTTAAAGACGGTTTCAAACTCCAAACTAATTCTCGAAACATTTCGTATTCATTTTAATTTTTTGAAATAAAACTTTAGGAAGTTTATGGCTGCCATGCACCGCTCTGAAATCAGAGATGAATTTCCACAAAGATTAAACTTTATTAACAAAACACAGAGTCAACAACAGCACCAAAACGCATAACACTGATCAAACAAAAACCACATCTAATATATATACTGCTGGAGCAAAGAGAGACCGGTCTCTAAAAGAAAAAGCATTTAAGAATGTGTTATATATGTTTGTTCAACCTTGCATGCCTTATAATCAGCTGTTTTTATCCTGGACCATCAAGCCCGTGCAGGAACGATTTCATCCCACAATGCAACAAGCCCAAACATTATGAATTACACAAAATGTCTGATTCAAATCAAACTTGTTTCTTTCGTCTCAGTGTTTGGACCCGTTGAGCGTTTGGAAGCCCCTCAGTTGTTCCAGGAAGCCGGGGTTTGGGGAGGAGACCGGGCGGGCTGATTGGACCAATGAGAGAGCAGCATCAAAGGACTGGCCGTCACATGACATCAGGTAGCCAATCACCACCGCCGGAGCCCGGGACACACCGGCGTTGCAGTGGACCAAAACCACGCCTTTCTGAGGGGGACATGTGGATATCAGAGCAGCAATCATTCATTTCAAAATTACAGATGTACTGTGTTATCATCTTTTATTACACAGCTTAGTTGAATACTCGCTTCTGATTGGTCAATTTGGACATTCCAGAGGTTGTTCATTTTCACTAACAGACCGTTGCTAAGGAGAACAGACCGTTGCTAAGGAGGGCTATGCACAGTCATATCAATCCGCAGAAAGAAGTCCAGTCAATTTAACGTCAGCGTAAAATAAATAAATGCACGAGTGTTAGCAAAACATTTTGAGTACTTGATCAACGTACTGTCTCATACTACTACGACCACTTTTCTTTAAAAGAAAGTTTTAAAAGGAATGAAAGTTATTTGCTCAGATTGGCAGATTTGTTTTTAGATTATGTTTTTTTTTTTTTTTATAATCAAAAATAACAAATTTGGCAACATTTTGATTCGTCACTTTGGGTAATAGCATCATTTGTGAATATGTATATATTTATATATATATATATTTACTTCAGGAAGGCCTTCACAGATTATTTGGATAGATTCTACTTGAGTGTTTTAGAATAAGTAGCCAGTTTTTAAATCACACTCTGACTTAAACACAAGTGTTCGAGGGCTCAGTCGCAGACAGTTTGAGTCCTTTATAAACACCTAAAGTCTGCAGACTTTAACAAAGGGGTGCACCCACAATGCATTGCAGTTAGGTGTTCAAACAGCAATGACAGAGGAATGGTCCACCATTTAATAAAGACAGAAAATATGGAGGAAGTCGTCAAGAACATATTTTTCTATTGATAAAACACAGTCGCTAACCAGCAGGATGTGCAGATGTCTTATGAAGGCATCAGAGTGAATCATGAGAGAGAGGATCGATGGGTTTGAAACCACTCACAGTATTTAATGCCAGCCTCACACTCTACTCTGCATATAAATGCGTGTGCAGGTGAAAATACTCCTGCAGTGACGCTCTCTGAACGTTAGAGGTCTCCACAGACTAACACACACCACACGCTCTCACACTGATGTTGGGGTTAGTAAATAGATGTTTGTTTGTGTCCATTAGCTTCTCATTACAGCCTCTCTGCTCCCTCTCACGGACGTAAACACAACAGCTGTGAACCTGTTTTCAGTCCGCTGAGAAACGTCTATAAAAATGATCATGTGACCGCAGAGAGGGGACGGGTAAAGAAGAGCAGACAAGAAACGTCCCAAAGGTTTGTGAGTTTTGAGTAGAAATATACAAAGAAAAGTGGTTGAAATCGTGAGAATGTGCTTCATGTCCTCATTCCAAAACAACAGAATAGCTTGTTTGCCAATCACTAAACAACTATTTCATTTTACAAGTTGTATTTAACGTTGTAAACCCAGATATTGTAATTGAATTGGGATCAAACGGGTAAAAGCTTGAAGATGTGCTGTATACCTTAACGACACATCAGATCGCCTAGCATCACAATAAGTGTAGATAAAACGATAAAAAAAAGCTGTCGTAAAAACTAAATTACAGATCTGAAAGATTTGATAGAATTCGACACGCAAACTGTATTATTGTCCAAAAAAACTAATTTAAATCTCAGGTTTTGGGCTGAAATGGTTGGCTTTAAAGGTCTAAAGCTCAGGTATGGCCAAGGCATGGCTTCTAATGAGGGTAGAAACACCAGAGTTTATTTATGATGCATTATTAAGACATTTTTTACAAAACCTGTTGAGCACGTACACCAGTCACATGATGCTGTGGATGTAATGGTGAGTCATTACCAGCCAGATGGCCTGCTGGGTAATCTGACACTGCTTTTCAAAGTAAAAGCATCAGTTTGATTATCAAGGCTGGAATTACCGCATACACACATTGAAACATATCATAATGAACACACACACTTCCTGTAACCCTGTAATCATACACCCCTAATGACGGCCTAATGAATTGCTGTGTGTGTGTGTGTGTGTGTGTGTGTGTGTGTGTGTGTGTGTGTGTGTGTGTGTGTGTGTGTGTGTGTGTGTGTGTGTGTGTGTGTGTGTGTGTGTGTGTCTAGCATTACTATACTTGTGGGGACCTAAATCTGTTTACATAGTCATGTGTGGGGACTGGCTTCCCTTATGGGGACACAATGCGAGGTCCCCATGAGGGAAATCATTAATTTTAGGGTGAAGACTTGGTTAGGTTTAGGGTTAGGTTAAGGGTAAGGTTAAGGGTAAGGGTTAGGGTAAGGTTAAGGGTTAGGAATGTGTTGGTTATGGTTAAGGTTAGGATAAGTCTCCAGGAAATGCATGTAAGTCAATGCAATGTCCCCTGAAGTGATGTATACATGGTATGTGTGTGTGTGTCTGTGTGTCTGTGTGTGTGTGTGTGTGTGTGTGTGTGGTGTGTGTGGTGTGTGTGTGTGGTGTGTGTGTGTGTGTGTGTATGTGTCTGTGTGTGTGTGTGTGTGTGTGTGGTGTGTGTGTGTGTGTGTGTGTGTGTGTGTGTGTGTGTGTGTGTGTGGTGTGTGTGTGTGTGTGTGTCTGTGTCTGTGTGTGTGTGTGTGGGTGTCATGTTAAGGTGAGCCGCTAAAAGCTTGCATGACACTGAGATGTGATCTGTTTAATAAAGCATGAACAAACGAAGCATGTCATGTATTATTCAGAGCAGGAGAGAGGAGATGTCCAAACACGTGTCGCATGTTAACCTCGTTTTTAAAACACTTAAATCGACCTCCTTATTCCCATAATCCCTTGGGTTTATGGGATTATGGGATTTTAGGTCCTGTTGTTGGACTTGATCCGGTCGTTTGTTTTCACCTGAGCTGCAGCAGCTCTCACCTTCATCCAGCGAGGACGTTCGGCTCTTTCTGTTTGTTTTGAAAAACTTCTGGATTTAATTTGATGAAACTTAGGCCCTTTCTCATTTCATCAAATCCCCCTCCTCGACTCCTCGACTCCTCGGTCCTCCGGTAGTGACCCGGAAATGAATTTTAGCGCGCCATGTTGAAGGACATCTCATTTCTCTAAATGCACTTCGAGGACCGAGGATCGAGCGTCGAGGAGGCTCTCTGGAGGAGCTCTAACCGAGGAGAGAGGAGGCTCTCTGGAGGAGCTCTAACCGAGGAGAGAGGAGAGAGGAGGCTCTCTGGAGGAGCTCTAACCGAGGAGAGAGGAGAGAGGAGAGAGGAGGCTCTCTGGAGGAGCTCTAACCGAGGAGAGAGGAGAGAGGAGGCTCTCTGGAGGAGCTCTAACCGAGGAGAGAGGAGAGAGGAGGCTCTCTGGAGGAGCTCTAACCGAGGAGAGAGGAGAGAGGAGGCTCTCTGGAGGAGCTCTAACCAAGGAGAGAGGAGGCTCTCTGGAGGAGCTCTAACCGAGGAGAGAGGAGAGAGGAGGCTCTCTGGAGGAGCTCTAACCGAGGAGAGAGGAGAGAGGAGGCTCTCTGGAGGAGCTATAACCGAGGAGAGAGGAGAGAGGAGGCTCTCTGGAGGAGCTCTAACCGAGGAGAGAGGAGGCTCTCTGGAGGAGCTCTAACCGAGGAGAGAGGAGAGAGGAGGCTCTCTGGAGGAGCTCTAACCGAGGAGACACTGATGGGTCCTCCTCGGCTCCTTCGTGGATGCATTTCCGGGAACAGAGATGTTTCAAAGCGTCGTGACGCACGGCCGGACTTATCTCAGCCAATCACAGCTCTGCATGCATCCCCTGGATATTATTTTAGAAACTGCTCTCATCGCGATAAGATGTTTCCAGAGAGAACAGCTGTGAGGTCCGTGCAGAAAGCAGAGCAGTGTGTATCATATATATCACTCAGTAGAACAGGCCGACTCTCTTTGCTGTAGTTTAGTAGATATCTACAAACAAAGAGTCCAGATGTTTCTAAGAGCATTTAGTGCTTCACAAAATAAAATACACAACGGCTGCAGCCTGATGATGCTTTAGGAGCTGTAGGTGTGTGTGGTACAGTGTGTAGGTGTGTGTGTGTGTGTGTGTGTGTGTGTGTGTGTGTGTGTGTGTGTGTGTGTGTGTGTGTGTGTGTGTGTGTGTGTGTGTGTCCACATCTGTAGCCTGTTATTGTCTCATTATACCGCACTGTGAATGAATCAAAGTAAATATATAAGTCGTCATGAACACATCTGTCCATCAGACAGAGGGCTGCTGTGCCTCCTGTCATCATTGATGGACGTCTCTTTAAAATGACCGCTCAGAGGAGAGGAGTTCTCATTTCTCTAACCGCCTGCTGCTTCCCCTCCTCTCTCCTCGGTTCCCCTCCTCGGCTCCTCCGCTCGCATCTCCTGTGGGCGGGACTAAGTATCGAGGATAGGAGTCGAGGAGGGGAGTTAGAGAAATGAGAAAGGGCCAGTGTCTCCTCGATCATAGCTCCTCCAGAGAGCCTCCATCCTCGATGTGCATTTAGAGAAATGAGATGTCCTTCAACATGGCTTTTATTTATTATCTATTGTTTTTATTATATGGCTGTTTTTTATTTTGTTATGATTACGTTTATTCTGGTTTGTTTTGTGTTTATCTTTTATTTTAAATGTATTTATTTTATGTTGTGTGAGCTCATCTCTCTGTACAGCACTTTGGTCGGAAGGTTTTAAAGTGCTAGATGGATTGGATTGAGTTTGGAGTCAGTCTCAAGTGATTTTTCCGAATATCTACCAAGAATAAAAAACAAAACACTTCTCGATTGACAGGATTCTCTTCTCGAATAAGAAAAGAGGGATATCTGTTGGGAAAACACTGAATGTGCTCTTCCAGTATGAGAGTAACCTGATAACAAAGGTATCAACTGTAGCTGTGTTCATGACAGGATGTGTGATTACTTAGAAGAGCATCAGGACTGTTTGAGGCAGATGGTTTTTTGAGAAAAAGTCAGATTTTACCGATTGAGAGAAAAACTCAGTATTTTGTAGATGGCAGGATTTATGATTTCCTACAAGAACCGGTATTCCTCCATCTTGTGACTGTGTAACTCCCTCTCTTGGATATCAGCATGTGAAGGACACTGTTCAGGAACTAGTTGATGCTCTGTTTGTGATG